AAGATTAAAATCCGGGTGGCTGGGTAATTCCCTTGCTAAGTTGCTGTTCCCTTCTTTCTTGCCGTATTGTCATCAAAGAAATGGTGTGAGGAGTCCATGACTCCTGGCAGAGATAGAGTTTCGGGTTGCACGTGTAAAGCCTGAAGAACAGCATGGGATCTCAGATCTAGCAGGCTGGGTGACACTTAACTAAGAGGTGTCATGCAGGAAAAAAAAAAAAAATTAAGCCTAGCTCTGAGTTCCCAGATGTATAAACAGTGGCAAAACTCAAAACCAAAAACTGGTTCCTAATAAGTGGATGAGTGTTTAGCCTTGAACTACAACGGGGCTTGGAAATCACTCAAAATATTTACATTATAGAGTGGGGCTTGCTTAAGATGAAATATTGCATACCTGTCGATTTTCTTCCTAATCCTAACCGCAATGGGTAGTTACGAGTTGTAGATCTCTGTCTACTGACCAATCTCAACCCCCACACATTTTTGTGTGTGTGTGCCACACAAGGCTTTTCTTACAAAGATAAAATGTTCCCCACCATCTGTGTGTGCACTAGAAATAACAGAAAACGCCCTTTTCCTGTTCTATGAGAAAATTTTCCATGTTATCAGTATTTGTAAAAGAACAAAACCAGAAAGTTACCTATAAAAGCAGTTAGGAGTACTGAGGAGTAAGCAGTGTTCCTGAACGCTTTTAATTGTCTTTCCCCTGTAGCAGCAAACTACACATTATTTACTATTAGGGGTAACTTTGTAATGTGTTAGGTGTATCCCAAACAAAACAAGAAACTGTAGTCATAGCATCAAGCAACGCCAATACCCACACTGGAAAATATAGCCTACAAACTGGAGACCAGAGCCAAAGCTTAATCCCCACAGGTCTGTTGTTGTTATGTTGCAGGCTATATTGTAAATAAAGTGGGCAAGTACAAACTAGAGTTCAAAAGATTATATCTGGTGGTAGATGACCATGATTTAATCAGCTTTTTGTCCACTACTGTACTTTGTATTTTACATATGGGATCCGAGTCCACTGTTGTAGTGGTGTAAACAACAATGCTGCTATTATTAACACCCCCCCCCCCGACTTGCCTCTGTAGAGCAAAAATGAAGCAGCTCAATACTGAACTTCTATGCAGCAACTTAAGTCCAAATAACTGTGGTGGGGGTTTTGATTTTGGGGTGGTTTGGGTTTGGGTTTGTTGGGTTTTTTTTAGCTTTCTAAAGCTAGAAATTATTGCTATGATCATGCCATTTGGCTTCCTAATCCAGATCATAGATGTTCCTCTGTCAAGCCTTTATGTTGTATTTGTAGCGTATGTCCCTCTCTTAGAGTTGTGTTTGGAAAATACCTCTTATTTCTAGCATTTTTTTTTCAAATTATTTCTCTTAAGCATCTAATTGACATGAGACAACAGAGGAGAAAAAATACTGAAACTTACAGAGGGTTTGACCTCTGTGCAAACTGAGCATCCAAAGGAAGTTTTCTCAAAACTTTTGCAGTAACTTGTAGCACCAAAAACTAGGAGCTTGTGGAAATCCCACTGAGCCCTTACCTATATCTTTTGGCAGCTAAACCACTTTGAAAATCTGGGCTCTAGGCCCAACCCTGCAAAGAGTTCTCTGTGGAACGACTCCTCCTCCTGCCTGGGGCGGACTGTAGGATAGCTATTTTAATAGCTGAGGCTTTCAAAACAGCCTAAAGCAGTCAGGAAAAAATAATGTAATAAGCGGCAAGTAGATGAGTTCCCAGATGATTGATTCTGGAGACCTTACAGAGATAGAAATTGTGATTTGTAAACAGCTGAAAGATGGCTAGAGATGTGTTTTCTAACACACTGTGGGCCAGTTTCTCTCTTGTGAGATTTTGTGCATGGTCACTTTCTGGCAAAAGAGAGGTCCCAGCTCACTATGGTATGTGCTCTGTACGTCCTTTGGATGCATGTCAAAAGTCACACGTGATTAATATCTCTAAACATTGCAGTATTAAAGATGTAGGAATGTGGTAGAGATGGAAAGTGCCTTATAAATGTGAACTGTTGTTTCCTGTGTTTTTATTATTTTACTTTTTTCACTCAACATTTTTTTTCTTATGGCATTCTTTTTCTTATTTTCTTATTCTTTTTTCTTAGCTCTACCTTTCAGGTTTTTTTCCCAGAAATAAATTGCTTGGAACAAACGGGACATTTAACGGAAGATTGCACCATGTAACTTTTGTAGAGTCATTAAGGCAGATTGGATTTAGTGGCATTCGTGGCTCCAGAGGTGTTCAGCCATATACATCCTTGTGTTTGGGTAGCTGTGGGACCTCAAAGGGCGGCCTGGACTTGCCAAGATTCTCTCCTAGTCAGTGATGACTGCAGACTGTAAGGGAACGAACGAAATTCAAAAGCTTTTGCCATTTCCAACAGGGAAAATAGCAAAAGTCAACACTCAGAATCAACGTTAAGTGTTAGATAGACATCCGAAAAATTAGTATTAGGTATTTCAAAATAAGCCTTTTTAATAGCAATTGTTCTATGTCGGTTTGTTTTGTTTTGTTTTGTTTTAAATTTCAGTATAAAGTATTTGGTATTTTAAGTCTTTAATTGTCTTGGCAAAAAGCCACTAACAGGCTTTGATTTTGGAAGCACGTCTGTGTGAATGATCCTAGTGGGTTCATAATGGCTACAAAGGACTTGTCCATTAAGAGCTATTTTTAACAATGAAGTCATAACTCTAATGTAAAAGGAAAGCTAAAGCTAAACTAAAAAAAAAAAAAAAGTTAAACTTGCAATATTCTAAAAGAATAAACTGTCCCGCAGTCACAAAATCTCTAAAGTTATCCCTGACACCTATATTCCAACTTAGATTACTAGCCTGATGGTTGGAAGAAGAGAATTTGTTAGCTCTGCAAATCAAGAAAAGATGACAGAAGTAAAATGCAAAAGTAGCACATGAGCTTGGTTTCATTTATTTTTTCAAGACCAGCTTTGGAAGCCAAAGACTTAGTGCTAGAAAACCAGCATAAGCATTTGGGGATCACTGCTGCAATCCTTTTCAGGTGGATTCTGTTATATCCAGGATCTTGACTGTAGTATCACATCTTACTACATCATCCAAAATACTTCACTGTTATGGTTGGTTGGCCTCCAGCGTTACATCTTTGCGTGTCTCTGGCACCCTGGGGGTCCTGCGCGTCAAATGCTCCTTTGAACGTGCTGAACCTTGGAGGGCCGGGTTCTAGGCTCAGGAGAGGAATTTGCCCACTTTGCTGGGGAAGACTTGAGTTGCCAGCTGCAGTCCTTTTTGTGGTCACGGAAAGGGTGCAAAGGCAGTGAGTTAGCGGCGGTGACTGAGGCCTGATCCGGGGCAGGGGTGCGTACTCTCCCCCTTTCTGAAGGGGACCTCTTCCTAAACATCTATCGAAAAAACACCGAATACACGGCAGTTCTTGCGCTCACCTCCTTGCGTTGGCTATACGTTGTGCGGGCAAGGGCTGGTAAGGTCTTTCCTTAACGAGTCAAACCCTGTGCCCTCTGCTTCTCTACTCTTCCCTGAATTTCTAGATTCGTTTTTGATGCTGCTTACCTGTATCGTTGTAACGCGCAAAGCTCCCGTTAGGCCAGGCAAGGCAATTCGGTGTGCAGATGCTCCCTTATCCCGAACAAACTGAACACGTTGCTGGAATCCCAGTGGGTTCGGCTATAGGGCTACCACATGGCATTGCCAACACTTCTGCTATCTTACTGTGATTTCCGTTGGGTTTTTTGCATTGGCTTCTTTTAAACTTTTTTTCTCGTTCCTGTTTGCTTCAGATTGTTACTGGTTCGTGCCCCTAAATATTTGACCCGTCTTTCGTTTTGATAGTTCCTTCCTGCATTTTTGTCACCAGTTGTTTCCTTTCACGGCTTACTCGTCCTCGAGGAGTGTTTTCACCGGCGCGCCGTCCAGTTCCAGTTGCACGCAGCGGTATCGCACAGTGAAGGGGACGGGTCTAACGGGACGGCGTAGCACGGATCCTCGTGGTATCCCATGAGGGTCGGGAAGGCACTAACGCTAAAACCCAGAGATGGTGGCAGGGGTTAGCGAGCTCGTTCTGGGTCACGTCCCAGCAGACGGACCGCCTCGGAGCGGGAATCCAGCAGCTTCCAGGGCACGGGACTGGTCCCGCAGCATCCCGGCCCTGCCTTGTCTGAGACGTGGGGAGGGCAACTGGGAGAACCGCCGGGCGTGAAGCTACCGAGGTGAACGGGAGCGGGGGCTGAGGGAAGGACAAAGCATTGCCTGGGAGCCGCGGGGACGTCAGAAGATGGGAGAAAACGTCATAGCGCAGTTGAGCCGCGCTGGAAGCCCAGCCCGCCCGCCGATGCCGGGGGAGGCTGAGCCGCCCGCTCCGCGCGTCCTGCCGAAACGTTTCCTTGATATCAAGCAGGCGTTGCCTACATCTTCCTCGGGGCCGGGGCGAAGCGGGGGGGGGACAAGGCAGCCGCGCCGTTCACCTGCAGCGCCGGTAAAGGCAGGCGGCTGCATCCCCCCCCCCCCCCAAGGCCGCCTCCAGGCTGCTGCCTGCCTTGAGGGGTGGGAGAACGACACACACACACACACGCGGGACGGCCGGGCCGGTCGGCTGCGGCCCCTTCTGGAGAAAACACGGAGGAGGAGGAGGAGGAGTAGGGGGGGGACACACGGCCACGACACACCCGACCGGGGCCGGGCCCGGCGGCGGGGCTGAAGGACCGGGGAGGGGCGGCGGAGGCGGCGTCATGTGACCCGCTGCCAGCTCCTTTAAAGCAGCCACATGCAACCGAGCAGCGGCCACAATCACGGCTGGCGGCGGCGGGAGCAGGGCGAAAGGGAGGGAGGGGGGGGGACCGGTTCCCGAAAGCCGGTTCCCGGCCGGGCAATCAGTGCGGAACCTCGGGCGGTCCGTCAGCCCGTTCAACCGCCTAAGTCCGGGCTTACTGCTGCCCCCCCGCCCCAAATCGGGGAGCGGGGGGGGGTGGTTTTAAGCGTCGGGCGAAGATGGCTGGGGCCATCATCGAGAACATGAGCACCAAAAAGCTGTGCATCGTCGGGGGGATCTTGCTGGTTTTCCAAGTCATCGCCTTTCTGGTGGGAGGTCTGATCGGTGAGTGCCGAAGGTGCAAACTTTCTCTTCCTCCTCTCCTCGCCCGTGTTGTTTAGCTACTTGTTACAGTATCGCTGACTCGCTCCTATGATCTAATTAGCCCTGCTATTGTAGTTAAGAAAACACGGCTCCCTGGGCCTCTTTGTGCACATTTCACTCTAGTGCCTGCGAGAAAAGAAGGGGCAGAGAAAAGTTTTTTTGGCCTGGTTTCAGTCCGTACTTAAAGAAAGAGGGGGGGGGATCGTCAGTATGGCGACTGATCGCGCCGGGAAGCCTTGCATCGCAAAGTTGGGGTTTTAAAAAATGTGGTTTATTTTGTAAAAAAAAAAAAAAAAAAGAAAAATCTTCCTCCGCTCTTTTCGTACCTCTGCCCCTCCCCGTTTCTCGGCCTCCGAACCGACCGCAGGAGGAAACCTCACCGCTTGCCAGAATGATAACAACAAAAAAAAAAAAAAAAAAAAAAAAAAAAAAAGGAAAATTAATGGGCGCTGCCCCGGGAGAGGACAGGACCGCATTTACCCTCCCTGGGGTGCGGTGGGGAGCCTTTGGGTGGCCGCC